TGCATAGTAACTTGATTCCTGGCTGCTTAGTCAGACTGCTACTGAACAACCTTGAGCCTGGTCCCAGGGAAAAGAGAATCTGGTTGTTAGTGATGTCCGATACACAGCTTGAGATTGTTGTTGTTTAGTCGTTCAGTCGTATCTGACTCTTCGTGACCCCCTGGACCAGAGTACGCCAGGCACTCCTGTCTTCCACTGCCTCCCGCAGTTTGGTCAAACTCATGCTGGCAGCTTCAAGAACACTGTCCAACCATCTCGTCCTCCGTCGTCCCCTTCTCCTTGTGGCCTCAATCTTTCCCAACATCAGGGTCTTTTCCAGGGAGTCTTCTCTTCTCATGAGGTGGCCAAAGTATTGGAGCCTCAGCTTCACGATCTGTCCTTCCAGTGAGCACTCAGGGCTGATTTCCTTAAGAATGGATAGGTTTGATCTTCTTGCAGTCCATGGGACTCTCAAGAGTCTTCTCCAGCACCATAATTCAAAAGCATCAATTCTTCGGCGATCAGCTTTCTTTATGGTCCAGCTCTCGCTTCCATACATCGCTACTGGGAAAACCATGGCTTTAACTATACGGACCTTTGTTGGCAAGGTGATGTCTCTGCTTTTTAAGATGCTGTCTAGGTTTGTCATTGCTTTTCTCCCAAGAAGCAGGCGTCTTTCAATTTTGTGACTGCTGTCACGAAGTTAGGTAGGCCAACAGGAATAGTGCCAGTTTCCTCCTAGCAGTTTTATTGGTTTTATCCTGCTCACATAGCACTCTATGCACCAGAAGGTATCTGTTTTTTCTATTAGTGTTTTCCTGAAGCTTGAGCCTTAATCAAAATTCTGGCATTTGGGTTATATGCAGTAGTGGTTGGTAAAGCAGAGTTGCTTACCTGGCTTCCCAGTGCCAAGCATCACTTCCAGTTACCGAAAGGGAGATGGGTAGTGGCGAGGCGGCAGGAAGCTTGCCACAGGGTGCCGCAGCAGTGTAACCAATCAGATGCTTCACCCGTGATACCAAGTTCCACCCCTCATCTCCTCTTCCTCTTTTCAGTAATTGATAGTGATAGGGTTTGGAAACCAGGTGAGCAGTGCCACTGTGCCAGATATATGACATATCACAAGTACACATTCATCACTTTGGCCTTGAAACACCATATAACTCTTAATAAAAATGTGCGATGAACAGCAAGTTAACATTTAAAAAATCATTCAGAAAGCTCAAGTGAGTTAAAAGCAGGTTGAACATTGGACATATTTTTGACTCCTGGCAATTTTAGATTTTCCTTGCTTCCTTTAGATTTTTATAGACTTTTAATTCTTTTTAGTTTTTCAGATTTTAAATAACTGTAAACCTCTCCCCCCCCCCTTAGGCTGGCCTATGATCGTAATTTTGACTTGATTTGATTTAACCCCTGGCAGAAGCACTTTGGAAACAGTGCAATGTTTTGAATAATCTGCTAAAAATCTCTGGAACTTTATTGCATAGAACAGCCCTCGCACACACACCCTCTTAATGAATTCCCATGTATCACACCTCTTGAGCAAAACCTTTTTACAGGAAAGTTTTTTTTCCTGAAAAAGCAACGTGTACCCTGCAGATAGGGCTTCCTTCCTTCATCAATGCTTTTTCTTCTTGGTGGGACTGTACATTCAACTCTTCTTATCAAAGTTATTCATGCTTGAATTCCACTGAAAACAAAGTGCAGTCATTTTTAAAAAAATAACTTCATTTATGAACTTTCATTTAAAAACCTCAGATTGATCCATAAGAAAACCCACCATTCTCCTAACCTTGAAATTTCTCTGGCAGGTTATCCTAATTTTCCGAACATTTATGTGCTTATAAAATGCTATATATTTCCTGTTTGTCTTGTCTTGAACATATTTTGCAGGAAGATAAGGAACGGGAATGCTGAAGGTTCTTTGTGCTGTGTTCCATGGAAGCTGTTGTCTCACATGGCCTGATATGAGATTTGCAGGTTTCTCGTAATGAAGGGTGGCTCATTCATGGAACTGAACATCTGCCCGATTGAGCAAAGTCGTCAAGATAGTGGGATCCTAGATCCTGTATATTTCAGTGGAAGTTGGAAAGCTGTTATGTTCCAGAGGATGGGGCCACAATCACAGAAGCTGTAAGCCTCTATGTAATGACAGGACTGCAGATACAGTATGTTCCAAGGAAATCAGGAATCAGTCGAAGGCCAAACATGATTCAAAGAAAAAGTCAGGCAACAGTCTAAGCTCACAGGGTGTCCAGGCAAGGTACAGTGCAGCAAGGCAGAGTGATTAGATCTGGGACCCAGATGTTTCCAGCAAGTGGAAGGCTCAAGAGGGAGGCCTCCTAAACCAGATGGTAGCCACAGCTGCTAGCTGTGATGGAGTAGCATGGATTCCTTACTCACAAGAAGCCCCCTTACGAGTAGAGTGACAACTTTGGGTCCATAGATGCATAATGTGCCATTCCTCTTCAGCCCAGAACTGAAAGCTTTCGGTGTCGGCACTCTTGAAAACAGGGAACGGCGAGGAGCCTGCTCCACCTCCTCCTCTGGCAGTTTTATTTGTTTTATTTATTTTACAACATTTATATACCACTTGACTGTAATAAAACCTCAGAGCAGTTTACAAAAAGAATAAAGCAATAAAACTACCTGCTAAAAACCCAGTTAAAAAGACTTAGTTTAAAACCCAGTTTATAACGTTCAAAAGATAATTAAAACCAGCAATTAACCAAAAGCAGATTAAAACTCATGATAGCTTCTACATGTCTTGTTAGGTTTGCTTAAACAAGAATGTTTTTAAAGGTAAAGGGACCCCTGACCATTAGGTCCAGTCGTGGCCGACTCTGGGGTTGCAGTGCTCATCTCGCTTTATTAACCGAGGGATCCGGCGTACAGCTTCCGGGTCATGTGGCCAGCATGACTAAGCCGCTTCTGGCGAACCAGAGCAGTGCACGGAAATGCCGTTCACCTTCCCGCTGGAGCAGTACCTATTTATCTACTTGCACTTTGATGTGCTTTCGAACAGCTAGGTGGGCAGGAGCTGGGACCGAGCAACGGGAGATCACCCCGTCGTGGGGATTCGACCCGCCGACCTTCCGATCGGCAAGTCCTAGGCTCTGTGGTTTAACCCACAGCGCCACCCGCGTCCCAAGAATGTTTTTAGCGGGTGCCCAAAAAAGTATTATTTATTTATTTACTTACTTACTTACTTACTTACTTACTTACCTACCACCCTATACCTGGAGGTCTCAGGGCGGGACAGTGAAGGCACCTGGCCGGTGTCAATAGGCAGGGAGTTCCAAAGTGTAGGTGCTACGTGGGGTAATGCAATCACAAAGGTTTATGGGTCCCAAGCTCTGAAAGGTGTTATACAGTGGTACTTCAGGTTACATGCGCTTCAGGTTACAGACTCCACTAACCCAGAAATAGTGCTTCAGGTTAAGAACAGAAATCATGCTCCGGCGGCGTGGCAGCAGCAGGAGGCCCCGTTAGCTAAAGTGGTGCTTCAGGTTAAGAACAGTTTCAGGTTAAGAACGGACCTCTGGAACGAATTAAGTACTTAACCAGAGGTACCACTGTATACAGATAGCAGCAGGTTTAAATTGGCGCAGTAGCAGATCTGCAGTCAGTGCAGGTCTCTGAGCAGAGGTGTTATATGCTGACGGGGTTTTTTTTTTTAAGAATAATTTTTTATTAACTGACCAATCACATCAAATCAAACCAAATTACATAAATTCCAAATTACACAGCCGAATTTTAAATTTTTGTTGGGGGTACCCATATTTCAAGTTCCGAAGGGATCCAATCAACTTCTTGCTTCTTACTGCTGTTTTAATGTCCACAAATCTAACCTTATGATGTTCACAGTACTATCCAGTCCTTTCTTATTATTTTTCCACATCTCTTGTTGTTATTTTCATATATTTTTCCTTTCTCTTTGTGACCTCTGATAGTCTCTGCAAGCTGGTTAGAACAGTTTGTAATCCTGCGTGGATATTATTTTTTTTATCCAGTAGCCATATCCAGACGTTTTCCATATAACATCACTTCCATACATCAAAACAGTCTTAGCGTCATTAATCTTCACCAATCTGCCTCCTTTCTCAAAACCTCTGAGGAGATTCACTAGGAATGCAGTCTGAAAACAAATCCGTTCTTCCTCCCGGCTATAAATCCTTTGGCAAGATGGCGACTCTGAATTAATTGCTGCACCATTCCCAAAAGCTCTTATTGCTTCTTGGTCTCCATAAAGCATACTTTTGGTTAAAGTTTATCTCCACACAGACCTTAATCATCCTGCTTGGGTCAGTTCCACCGACGGTTCTATGTAAATCACATAGAAGGAAAGTAAAAGTAAAAAAGGTTCCCCCCCCCCCATTCAGCCCTGTTGTCAACATACCCTGCCTTTGGTGTATCTTCATCGTAAAATATTCCTGTTTCTCCAGCCCGTCGACTTCTTTCGCAGAGGTCACTTAAATTAGCAGACTTCACTCCCCTTCTTCACTTGAAATATGTGCATTTGCTTCTTGTGTAATTAATTATTCCAAATTGCTGCAACTAGTGCGCGATCAGAGCCAGCGTCCAGGAGAGCTGATATCCACACGGGGGCATTCTGCCTAGGGCCCTCACCCCCTTCTTTCGAATTAGGGGGTGATTTATGGGCACAGCAGGCAAGGGCAGTGTTCCCCATTTCCTTGGGGCAACAAGGGAGGCTGCCTACTCCCATAACAGCCTCTTAATTACCCCGTGTGGGTCGGAGAGATGGTATTGTCGGCCATCTTCCAATGCGCCCCCTAGTGGCCCCCCGGGTTTTAGTCCTGTCAGCAGTTGTGCTGCAGCATCCATCATCAGAAGTTCCCCTCAAAGGGATCCCAAGCATTGGATTCAGGGGACCGTGCCTGCTCCTCAAGGTCCTGTGGAGTGTCTTGAGAACTCTGTGTCTGGTACCAAGCCAGATCTAGGCACGACACAAGTTTGTCCTTAAATTTTCATTTACATTTTTTCTCTCTCTCTCCTAGGTCATAAATGCCTATTATGAGAAGATTGTCTGCCCCAAGTCGAATGGTGCTGTTTTCTTGGCTGTGTGCCGGGGGAAGGTATGTGTAACAGATTGCAGAAGTCTGAAAGTTAGACTCTCTGCAGAAGCCAACTTGTGCAGAGCAATAGTGGGAATTTATTTATTTAAGAATCATAAGAACTGGGGAAGAGTCGGATTCAGATCCCCACTCAGCTATGAAGCTCACTGGGAACTTTATGCTTGAAATCTCTTGGCCTAACCTCTTTTACAGGGTTGTTGTAAGGATAATAGAAACCAATTAACAGAATCTGAGCAGTTGTGTTGTTGTTGTTGTTTAATCAATTAGTCGTGTCAGACCCCCTGGACCAGAGCACGCCAGGCACTCCTGTCTTCCACTGCCTTCTGCAGTTTGGTCAGACTCATGTTTGTAGCTTCGAGAACACTGTCCCACCATCTCGTCCTCTGTCGTCCCCTTCTCCTTGTGCCCTCCATCTTTCCCAACATCAGGGTCTTTTCCAGGGAGTCTTCTCTTCTCATGAGGTGGCCAAAGTATTGGAGCCTCAACTTCACGATGTGTCCTTCCAGTGAGCACTCAGGGCTGATTTCCTTCAGAATGGATACGTTTGATCTTCTGCAGTTGTGTTAAATAGTGGAAATATACTGCAACATTTTGTTGCAGTCCTGCTTCTGTGAGTTGTTATTATTAGTTACATTTTTATACCAACTCTCTTCCAGTTCACTGAGGGTGGTGTATATGGTTCTCACCTGGTCATTTTTATCTCTGCAACTGCCTTATGAGACAGTTTCGGCTGAGAGAGTGTGATCGAGAGGGTCACCAGTGAGCGTCATCACTAAGTGAGGATTTGAATCCCTGCATTTCCTGTGCTAGCTGGATGCTCTAACCACTGCACCACACTACTTCTGAAGTTCCATTACACGCATGGAAATAATATAAGATTTGTTGGCTGTTACTATACCATTTCCTCACTAGTTTTCATCAGTAAGATGGGGAAATTTAAACTCATTTCCTACTATCTGTTCTTGTCTTTCACAACCCTACCTCCAACAAAGTTTCTACTTTCATAGGAACTTTAACACACCAGATTGTGTGTCAAATACCCCATGCATGGGTGCCATGAAGCTTGTTTGTGTGGTGTTGCTGGACTGTGGCAACTTCTAGTCTGCAATTCCTCTGGGCCATGAGCTTGTTCAGCTTGTTGAACTAAGATAATGTCCTGCAGCGCTTCCCAGCTGATGTGTCTTCTAAGGAAAGATTGATAGGAGTGGGCTTTTCAAGGAAGCTATTCCGTCATTCCATATCTTTCTGCTGAGAAACTCGTGATAAGCTTCCAAGAAACCTCAGGATATCCTGGAACTATTTGAAAATGATGTAACTAGCACAAGCTTAACTTTTGAAGCAGCAGCATTGAAGCCAAAATAAAAATAAATGAAGCATGTTATCAGCATGCTTTGAGACAAAGACACATAACAAAGCTGGCTTCCTGTGTTTACGGTAGGGGTTTTTGTTTTTGTTTTGTCTTTTGCTTCTTATGGAAAGTGAAAGTGAAAATGTTAGGCATATTTCTTGACCACTGTAATACTCAGGTTACATTACAGACCTTATTTGGCATCCACTGGGAACTTCCCGGTGACAAGGCTCTGCACAGAAGAACAGTAACTTGTTACCTTTTCCTTTTTTATTTGTGTATCTATCTATTCATTCATTCCTTCATTTACCATATATGATCTTTTTTAAAAAAATCATATTTTCCCCCCCGACAGTGGATCTAAGCTGCAAGATAAAACATAAACATGTACTTAAGCTACAACATATTGCAGTGGCAAGTTTAAAAGGTCTAGATAAATAAAATGCTGGTGGTGAAAATAAAAAAAAGATGTTGTGAGGGAAACTTCTCTGGAAAGGGCGTTCCAAAAATAGGGTGCTATAGCTTCAAAATGCCAGTTTTTTATTGCCACCCTCCTTACTTTACCTGGAACTTAGTGTGTGTCCTGGTCCAGCCTTGGAGGGCTCTCTCCACTGTGATAGGAATTTTGAGGACTTAGATATATGGTAATGTTCATAAGTGTACCAACCAAGCACATACATAGATCAGCACAGGAAGGCCAACCTGGAATCATTTTGATTCCTAAACTGAGCAAATGTTTTCTCTACATGGTCAAAGTGGAAAAGCCTCCCCATTGTCCTTTCCTTCACAAATCCTGTCTTAAGGGTATGTCTGTGTTTGAATAAGGTGTGAGCCTGTGACCTGGCCCAGGAACTAAGTATTTATCATTACTAAAGACTGGCCAGGCTACCCAGGAAATCCAATCAAGTAACCTGCCAGACAGGAGATAAACAAAAACAGGAGAAAAACAATATTAAAATTTCTATTTTGGACCGCCTTTTCTGTGATGTAGGTGTGATGTACCTGAGGGGTGGTCTTAGGTTACACCCCTTCTGTGATGTATGTATGATGTTTCTGGGGGTGGTCTTAATATACAGGAAGGGAATTTCAAAAGTCTTTATAAGGCCTTGCACACCATTTTTCTAGGTCCTCCTCCTTTCCTGTGTGTGAGGGGAGCAGCACCCTGTTGCAACAGATCAATAAAGATCAAGCTTACTAGCTGCTTTGTTTCTCAATATTCTCTGGTTGGCCTCTGTTATTTTCTCCTACCAATAGGGAACCCAAGTAAGGACTCTATATGGGCTCTTGGATACCCCATAAGGGAAAAGGGCAATTTTTGTTTACAACACCACATCCCAGGAGGCCACTGACTTGATCATGTGATGCCTTCACGGAGTGCTGCTTGCAGAATTTTTGAACTTCTTGATGTGTAGATCGAATGGGCTACTAAGAGCCAACTAGTGTGTTCAAACCATAAATGAGATTCTAACTCAGTGCTTCCTAACCAGCAACTTACTTTCATCGCTCCTAAATTGCACTAGAGGGACGTGGGTGGCGCTGTGGTCTAAACCACAGAGCCTAGGACTTGCCGATCAGAAGGTCAGCAGTTCGAATACCTGCGACGGGCGAGCTCCCGTTGCTCGGTCCCTGCTCCTGCCAACCTAGCAGTTCAAAAGCACTTCAAAGTTCAAGTAGATAAATAGGTACCTCTCCGGCGGGAAGGTAAACGGCGTTTCCGTGCGCTGCTCTGGTTCGCCAGAAGCGGCTTAGTCATGCTGGCCGCATGACCCGGAAGCTGTACGCCGGCTCCCATGGCCAATAAAGCGAGATGAGTGCCGCAACCCCAGAGTCGGCCACGACTGGACCGAATGGTCAGGGGTCCCTTTACCTTTACCTTACATTGCACTAGTATAGTCACGAAGTGGCCTTTAGACTGAGGCATCCAGAGAATTATTTCATAGGCCTTGGCACCATCAAGCGGAGAGACACAGCTCAATTCTTAAGCACCCCCTGTTTTCAACCTTAAATTCTGGCAAGTAGGCACAGCAGCCTTGCAGCGCTGTGCTTGAGCTCATGCCCCTGCCAAGTGGCTCCCCTTCCAGAGATGACCTGGAGCCCCCAGAAACTCAGGAACCAACCCAGAACTACAGCTGAAGTGTGTTCGGGACCTTCAGAGAAGACCGGAGAAGCTGGAAGCGGAGCAGGAATTTGTCTCTGCCTCTTTTAGTGACAGACATCATCTGTTTTCAGGCCAGCGAAGGTTTGGACTTCACGGATAGGAATGGTCGAGGTGTCATCATTACAGGCCTTCCTTTTCCCCCTCGCATGGACCCAAAGGTCATTTTAAAGATGCAGTTCTTGGATGAGATGAGGTCAAAAGGTGCCGCTGGTGGACAGGTAAGAAGGGAGCCCTGCCATTGATATTATGGATATTTGTCATCAAAGCGGGCCCTGCCATTAGGCAGAGTGAGGCAGCCACCTCAGGCTGAAGGTTCTAGGGGGCAGGTAGCTGTGATGAGGTGTGGGGGAGCTGAACTGTGTGTGCTACATGGCATGCCCTGCTGCACCCCTTAACCTAGCTTGGGTCTGATCCATCACCAGTGCTGAAATAAAGACAAACTAACAGTCCAGCTGGAATGGAAAGTGAGTGGGGCATCAAGTCCGTTGCTTCAGACAGTAAAGATTCTTGGTCTGACCCTGTTTGTCTTTGTTCTCATTGCAACTTTTCTCTGGAATTCAGTCCCAATTCCTTGGGCCACAGAAATATTTGCTGAAGGCTTCTAAAACTGGCTTGGTTATTTATGAGAGAATTCTCCATTGGCTGCTGTTTCTTAAGAATTTGTAGACAGTTTGCAAGTGGCAGAGTTAACCTTGTATTAATGCATATCTAAAAGGAATGTTGCAAACGTCTGAAGCACAATGCACAGTGTTATTAATCCAGATAAATCTTCATGGCAAGGAGGGGCCAGCTGGCTGGGCCTGTGGGGTGACCAGTTCCTCTTTCAGAAAAGAGGTGGTCCTAAGCTACAGAAACAGTGGGGAAGGGGAGAACCAGGGGACAGGCAGAAGGGCATTCTTTGCAGATGTTTTCAGGGCATCTCCTTAAAGGATGGTACTAATTTTGGTCTGGTGTTTGATGCATTTTCTTTGACATTTAGTATTTATCCGGGAACAACTGGTACAAACAACAGGCGTCTCGTGCAGTGAACCAGGCCATTGGTAGAGTCATCCGGCATCGACAGGATTACGGCGCCATCTTCCTCTGTGACCACAGGTGACCTTCCTTCTTGCTTGGGTAGAGTTCTCATGTCCTCATCTCCATCTACTTGAATTCTGTACCATCTGTGCCATCTCCTTGCTTTGCTACTGCGGAACAAGCCTTCAGAAAGTAGGAGAAAATGGACAGTTTTCCAAATGGAGGAATGTAGAAGGTGGAATCGCCCAAAGTTTCATATTGGGATCTGTGTTTTTGAATTAGATCGTAAACAAGCTAGAGCTAGGGGAGAGTGGTTAGGTGGCCCTGTTTTCTGATGATACTAAATTGTTCGGGGTAGTTAGAACAAAAAGATTGTGATGAGCTCCAAAAGGACTCTCCAAACCGAGTGAATGGGCAGCAAATTGGCTCAATTGGTGCACCTCTCTGATTTCCTTGTTTTCCTTGTTACCGTGTAATTCCAATGTAATGGACCACCATTGTGACCACCCTTGTGACGGCTTCTGAGCATGCTTGCTTCCCATTTTCAATCTGAGCTTGGATGGAAGAATGCAGGATGGCTGTGCTGTTCAGATTTATTTGTTTCTAAGGTGTCTGTTCTTGGGGAAGGGTTGGGTGTGTTCAGTTCTTTGGTTAATGTTTTTGTTTTCTCTATTCTAGGTTTTGTGTGGATTTTTGTGTTCATGTATTTTTTTAAAAAAATAGATGTTTAAATTACTTTAATAAAACAAAACAGCAGAATAAAAATATATACTTAAAAAAAATGGTTACAGCAAAAAATACTCTTGAGGCACCTCAAAGACTAACAAATATGGCAGAAGCCTTTTCTTTATTTTCGAGAAAAGGCAAGCCAGAGGTGACCTGATACTGTAGAAGTGTATAAAATTATGCACTGCATTCAAGAAGTGGATAGAAAAATGTTTTCCTCCTTTCCTGTTACTAGAACTTGTGAACATTCAGCAAAGCTGAATGTTGGACGATTCAGGAGAGACAATGAAAGTACTTCTTCATGCAGTGCATAGTTCAGCTATGGAATTGGTTCCAACATGAGGCAGTGATGGCCACCAACTTGGATGGCTTTGAAAGACAAACCTGTGGAGCTAAAGGCTACCTGGGGCTACCAGCCACAATGGCTATTCTCTGCCTCCATAGTCAGAGGCAGTGTGCTCCCGAATACCAGTTGCTGAAAACTGCAGGAGGGGGAAATGGTCCTATGCTCTGGTGCTGCTTTTGGACTTGCCTCGGGGCATCTGGTTGGCGTCTCTGAGAACAGGATGCAGGACTAGATGAGCCGTAGGCCTGATTCAGCGGCCTCTTACTTTCTTAAGTGATATTTAAAAATAATAATGTGCAACCACAAGCCTGCAGGATGCAGCTGTGCCTGTGACTAGAACTAGGCAAATTAAGGGGAGCAGCTATTCAGAGAAAGCTCTGAGTTGTTATTCTGGCCAGTGGAAAGGAAAACTGATTACCCATGTATCCCTTGGTTCAAAACCAAAATAAAGAAAGAAACATGATCTAACCAAAATATTTCTCATGGGTTGCTAGACTGGGTTTCTAAATCCACATCAGTAGTCTTAGAATAATAATCCAAGTTAAACGTATTCTTTCGGGAGAAATTGCATCATCTTTTCGCGGCTTTCTTCAAAAACAGGAATGCTCTGACTGAGAACTGGGGGATTCTATCACACCGCTTGCCATCATATGTGCAAAATGTGGGTTTTGTCCCACTGCAGTGACATCAAATGTGAAGAATGTCACTAAACAGGAGTGTGTGGTCCTTATAATTGCACTCCTATCATAAACAGACAAATAAATTTATCTCTGTAGTGCACCATCTAAAATGGGGTATTAGGTTATCGGCATGGGATGCAAATAGATGGAGAATGGTTTATTCAAGACTTACTTACTCATGCTGCATATTAATATCTATTCCTATATGGTGTCTAACGGACACCTCCCAAGTTCAGTGGTGCCCCGCAAGACGAATGCCTCGCTAGACGAAAGGGTTTTTCGTTTTTTGAGGTGCTTCGCACGACGAATTTCCCTATGGGCTTGCTTCGCAAGACGAAAACGTCTTGCGAGTTCTTGCAAGTTTGTTTCCTTTTTCTTAAAGCCGCTAAGCCGTTAATAGCCGCTAAGCCGCTAATAGCCGCTAAGCCGCTAATAGCCGTGCTTCGCAAGACGAAAAAATCGCAAGACGAAGAGACTCGCGGAACAGATTAATTTCGTCTTGCGAGGCACCGTTGTTTAGAGGGGATGCCCACAAGCCTGGAGTTTCTGCTTGAGGGCCTAGGGAAGGCTTTCAACACTAAACCCCTTAAAAGTCAGGTTGTAGTATTCTCTGCTGTGGGAGAGTTGAATCTGTTTCAGGCCACTCCCATGTCTGCAGGGTGGTTCTAAGTAATCCTCTGGGAACACACTATTTTTCTAAATGGAACCTGTAACTGGAAACTGAACGATTCCAGATGAGCTATTATCTGCAACTGGTGCTCTCTTCCTAGGAAAGGAATGGTTTATGAAACCAATCTATTTGTAACAGCAGTGGCGAATTAAAAAGCAGATCTCATAAGCTGTATAGTTCAGTCAATCAATTAGACTCTTTGTAGGAATTGCAAAGGAGGCTGGCCTGATCCAGACATTGTGGAGGGGAGCCTGGTGATGACTACTTTATCTCCCAAAGGTGGCAACCCCGCAAAAGGGGTTTTGGAGCTCTTAGCTAATTCATGTGTGATTTCTGGCCAGCACTTCAGTTGACTCCCTTATCCAGCACTTGCAACCCCACAGTGTTTTGCAACTTACCATTTAACCTTTTGCTGTATGGAAGAATGAGACAAGTGTAAATGTAAGGATACTGTTTATCCTCTTCTGTTATTTTTGTGATGGGGATAAAATTATTATGGGGTGCTATATCCAAAGGTCTTTTCTTTTACCAATGGTTATCAGATGTTGCAGAGCACTTAGGCATCCAATTCCATCTTTCTTCTGGGTTGTTTTGGTGGGAAAGTGTTACAAACATTTCTAGGCATGTCCCGAAACTGTTTTTGACAGAGCTTACTAGTGTTCTTTCCCACTTTCCAACAGGTTCATGAATACGGATGCAATAGCCCAGTTGCCTTCCTGGGTCCGTCCTTACATCAAGATTTATGAAAAATTTGGGCATGCTGTCAGAGATGTGTCTCAGTTCTTCCGTTTTGCCCAGGAAACTGTAAGTTTCAAACAACTATAGGCGAAAGCTATTAGTCTGCAAAATGTTTGAGAGTTACCTTATGACTAGCATTCCAGAGGCATAAGGCTGCCCAGCCAATTGTTCACAGACTGCTTGGGATCTGCTACACTTTGGGGTGTGTGTGTGTGTGTGTGTATAAAAGTTTTTTTTAACCTATCATTTCAACAATAATTAAACATACTTTTACATCTTATACAGTTTTTTTGACTTCCATCAATCACATCTGAAAATTTTCCAATCTGTTCACTTAATATACATTTCTTACTTTCACTATTACCTTTAAATCTCCTAACTAATATCTCTATTCTTTCTCTACTTTGCAATATTTCATATATTTCTCCTTACAAAACTTATTGTAGTCCTACTAGCATAATTTGTTGGTTACAATTGCTCTTCAAATAGTTCATATATTTCTTCCAATCTTCTGTAAATCTCTGGTCCCGCAGGTTTCGAATCCTTCCTGTCATTTTGTCTAATTCTGCATAGTCCATTAATTTTGTCTGCCATTCTTCTTTCGTCAGAATTACTTCTTGCTTCCATTTCTGGGCTAACAATACTCTTGCCGCTGTTATTGCATATAAGAACAATTTAACATCTTGTCTATTAATATCATCACTTATAATACCAAGTGAAAATGCTTCTGGTTTTTTAAAGAATGTATATTTCAACATCTTTTTCATTTCATTATATATCATTTTCCAAAAGTTTTTTACTTTCTTACATTCCCACCACATATGATAAAATGTTCCTTCTTTTTCTTTACATTTCCAACATTTATTATTTGTCTTATACATTTTAGTTAATTTCACAGGTGTAATATACCATCTATACATCATTTTCATCATATTCTCTTTCAAAGCATTAAAAGCTGTAAATTTTATTCTTTCTTTCCACAACCTCTCCCATTCTTTAAGCTGTATGTTATATCCAAAATATTTTGCCCAGTGTTATCATCACCGATTTCACTTCCTCATCTTTCAAGTGCCGTCCCATCAGTATTTTATATATTTTAGACATTATTTTACATTCATTGTTTAATATTTCTATTTCAAATTTTGATTTTTTTTTATCATCAAATCCATTTTCCTTTAAATCCTCTTTATACATTTCATTGACTTGGCGATAGCGCAACCGGGATCTGATACACTTTGGCTTAGCAGCATGCTGTTCGTTTAGAAGCATGAGCAATTGATAAGTTTTCCATCAAAGTACATTTATATCCCCTGAGCTAAACTTTTGAAATCTTTGCATCTCAAAGACTGCCTATTTCCCCACATCTTTCTATTAAGGCTAATCAAGAGAACAGTGATCCACCTCTGACACCCTCTCAGTCCCCTGTGCCCTTTGCATTCCTCCCCAGAGTTTCAGAGCTTTCTAGAGCATGACAAAAGTCAAGCAGTGCCTTTTTGGAAGCCCCTGAGGGCGTGCCCTCGATGGACACTTTGAACTTAGGAATGTTAAGAGGCGTGTTCTCAGCCAATCTGCTTCTGTGTCCCGTTTCAAACCCAAAAGAGCACGCAGACTGACCTGTTCAGGTAACGTGCATCAACCAGACTGTTGATTCATCTAACTCTGCACTCCTCTGTCTACCAGAGTTTCTCTGAGGTCTTGTGCGGGGGTTTCTCAGTCATGGTGCCTGAGATCCTTTTGACAGAGGTATCTTGATTTGAACCAGGGATGTTTTGTTTGCAAAACTTGTGCTCTTCTCTGAGCCACGGGCTAGGAAGTTGGTTCGTAATGTGGATCCGTTGGAACTGTAGTGTATGTATTGAGGAACCTTTGGCACTGTTTTGTTAGGTAAAAGTAAAGGACCCCTGGATGGGTAAGTCCAGTCAAAGGCGACTATGGGGTGTGGCGCTCATCTCACTTTTTAGGCCGAGGGAGCTGACGTTTGTCCGCTGACAGCTTTTTCCGGGTCATGTGGCCAGCATGACTATACGGCTTCTGGCACAACGGGGCACTGTGACAAATGCCAGAGTGCACAGAAATGCCGTTTACCTTCCCACCACAGCGGTACCTGTTTATCTACTTGCACTGGTGTGCTTTCGCACTTCTAGGTTGGCAGAAGCTGGGACAGCTACAGGAGCTCACCCCATCACACAGATTTGAACTGCCAGCCTTCCGATCGGCAAGCCCAAGAAACTCAGTGGTTTAGACCACAGTGCCACCTACGTTCCACTGTTTCATTACAGTGGTCTCATGCAACTACCATTTCCCCATACATTTTGTCCCACACATTTTTCACCTGATGTGTGGTGAAATCCCCACAACTACTTTTCAAAGGGTGTTCTGCTATATCTTCTCTGGCTCCAGCTGCCTCACGCTGAAAGAGAACTTGCCCCATTTTTATATGGCCCACCTGCACAGAATCATGGGTTGCCAAATGAGGGGAGAAGTATTTTCAGCTTACAGGTATGCAAACATGCAGCATTTTACACAGCAAAATCAAACTCAGGTAATTGTCTTTTTGCCTTTACTTCTCTTAGTTCTCTAACGTTTGTACTGCAAGTCGGAAGAGGTGTAACACCCTAATGTACAAAGTAACAAAAGGCTTCCCAGAGCTGGCCAAACTTTTTACAAAGGAAGCTTTATGCTGCAACTTTTTTTCTCCAGATGTAGAAAATCGTACAGTTCCAAATATAGTGTGAAAATTGTACAGTTCCAAATATAATGTGAACCTTGGGCTGAATAAATATTGCATGCATCTGCAGAAATCTCTTGCTTCTTGAATTTTACATATGTAAAGTGGCTTAAGATCCTAATCTCTCACCGATTTCTCACCATGTGAGAGAGATCACAATTATTTCTGTTTTACAGATGAAACACAGCACACAGGGAGTTTCCAACAGCATCTCTTTGCTGCTCAGCTGTTTTGATCGGGTGCGGTGGGGGGGAGACCTATTAGCAAGTACAGCTATAGGATACATCATGTAGTTTTCTCTTTATTATTCTCTTTAGTCACTAGTTGTTGTTTCTTTCATTTAGTTATTCTGGCATAGCAGCTCTGTTATCAAATGGATCATACACTTTGATTTTAGTGCACTCCAAAAGACATACCCCACAAAAAAGGTTTTAACTGTTCTGTGGTGTTCATGCTTATCATGGCATATTAATTCTAGCCATCTGGCTTCTCATTTCACCAATACAGAATGTTTTATTTATTTCATTTATATCCTCACCTTTTCCTGAAAAAAACTCAAAGTTGACATTTGTGGTTATCTTCTTCACCCCACCCTGAGAAACAATTTCTTCACAACGGCCCTGTGAGATAGGTCAGGCTGAGAGAGAGCGTCAGTGAATTCCATGGCTAAGCAGTGATTTGAAATTGGGTTTTGCCAGTCCTAGCCTAGAACCATTACAGCACAAGGACGTTCAGCACCAGCAGCACTTCCTATGAGCAGTCCTAATCTGGCTGCTTAGGGCCAAGCTAGACACAATGGCATGCACACCTTTTCTATTCAGGCACCTCTCCTTTTCTCATATAAATTGGGGATGTGCCTATATTTTACATCAGATAAAACAGCCTTCATCAATCTCGTGCCCTCCGAAAGCTTTGAACTACAACTTGCACCACAGTTCTGCCTTCTTGCTAGGATCACCTTTTTCTCTCTTTTCCATCCTACTGCTTTGTCTTGGCACTGGTCCAGAGCCCTCACGGCCTTTCCTGATCCAAATAGCATGAGGAGAACTGGATGTCATTGACATGCTGGTGGCACCTTCTCCCCAAAGTTCTAATGACCGTTCCCAGTGGCTTCATATAGATATGAAACAGCATTGGGGAGTGAGGAGTGCCCTGCAGCAGCCCATAGCATAACTGCCAGGAAGCCCAAAAGCACTCTCCCAGTTCTACTTTTTGGACTCAGGCCCGTAGCTAGGACCAGAACCACTGTAACACAGTGACCTCGCTTCCCATTCTACAGACCCATTCCAGGAGGATGCCATGGTCAATGGAATCAAAGGCTGCATAGCACTCAAGAAGCAGAAGCAAGGTTGCACTCTCCCTGTCTCGCTCTCTGCAAAAGTCTTCCATCAGTGCAACCAAGGATATCTCAGACCCATGGCCAGGCCTGAACCCAGATTGGGATGGATCTAAAATAATCCCCTTCTTCACCTCTTGTTGTTGTTGTTGTTTAGTCGTTTAGTCGTGTCCGACTCTTCGTGACCCCATGGACCAGAGCACGCCAGGCACTCCTGTCCTCCACTGCCTCCCGCAGTTTGGTCAGACTCATGTTCGTAGCTTCGAGAACACTGTCCCACCATCTCGTCCTCTGTCATCCCCTTCTCCTTGTGCCCTCCATCTTTCCCAACATCAGGGTCTTTTCCAGGGAATCTTCTCTTCTCATGAGGTGGCCAATATATTGGAGCCTCAGCTTCAGGATCTGTCCTTCCAGTGAGCACTCAGGGCCGATTTCCTTCAGAATGGATAGGTTTGATCTTCTTGCAGTCCATGGGACTCTCAAGAGTCTCCTCCAGCACCATAATTCAAAAGCATCCATTCTTCTTGATGGTCCAGCTCTCTTGATGGTCTTGATCAGCCTTCTTGATGGTCCAGCTCTCACTTCCATACATCACTACTGGGAAAACCATGGCTTTAACTATACCTCTTGTACTTTATCCCAATCTGGCTCACGTCCATTATTGGGGGTGGGGGGAAGCAAGGGGAGTTCCAACTCCCCTCCTATGCTTCTCCTTTTGATGGAAAGAACACACACTCGTCCGCCCACTTTAGAGATGAACAGCCCAGCAGGCACCTGGCTAAACAAACACATTTGCCATCATTATGACTAGTTTCATCCTAATTCTCTGGGGTGCAACTGGGATTCATTAGCTATAAAACTTCTCAGGCATGAAGCACATTGTTCTGTAAATCTGTTCAGACAGCAGTTTTTAATTACAGCTAAAGCGAGGGCTACTAAGCGACAGTAGATGGACCTGTGGTCTGAGCTGATAGAAGGCAGCTTCTTATGCTCCTCCAACCAGATTCTGAGGTGGCTGTCGCCATCTTGCCCTGCCCTTGGCTTTCAGCATTCATTTGATTACTGTTGGCAAGAGAATGATGTAATGGGTAGATCTTGGAGTAACCTTTTCAGGATCGGAACTGCCAGGTTGTTAATTATATTAACTGTCCTGTTTTACATAATTTCACGCTGTGGTCAGATGAGACGTGGTTCTTTGCTAAGGGTATGTGTCTCCTAGACTAACCTTAGACTTTCTTACCATTATAATTAGACGGGCCTCATCTCATCTTGGATGGGCCACACATGACTTGTCTCATGCCAGAGGCTCATCTGTACCATGCGTCTTGACAGAGTCGTACGATCAACCCGTGCCACGTCATTACTGGTATCCCTTCTAGATATTATCCTAGTCCCACAGATGTATGTCCCAGTTTCCACATAAATATAATATATTAACCATGTCATTTCTCAACACACTTCTCCATATCATGCCGTTGTGTCTTAACCTTCACTTTTTTATCTTGTTTAAATTAAAGTACAGTGGTACCTCGGGTTACATACGCGTCAGGTTACATACGCTTCAGGTTACAGACTCCACTAACCCAGAAATAGTGCTTCAGGTTAAGAACTTTGCTTCAGGATGAGAACGGAAATCGTGCTCCGGCGGCGCGACGGCAGCAGGAGACCCCATTAGCTAAAGTGGTGCTTCAGGTTAAGAACAGATTCAGGTTAAGAACGGACCTCCGGAACGAATTAAGTACTTAACCTGAGGTACCACTGTATGGTTTAACTCGAGCGAGCAATTTGCTATTATTGTACACTGCTCTAAAGTCCCCACAGTGCTTCTTCCCGACTCCTTTCTTCAGCATATTGGGAAGAAACAAATCAGAGGCTGGCTTGTTGTTACATGCAAACCAGCGCTCGTGGTTTGTTCATTTGCTCACAGACCCATGATGGTTAGCCAACATCCTTGGCTTACCTCCATGGTTTGTAAAGAGGCAGAAACTGGTTCACACATAATGGCACGCCTACCTCTCGTTTGTTTACTCCTTGGCAAAATGATGGAGTAAGAAATGTTGTTCATTCATATTAAACCGCAGTTTAATTTAGACGAAGGCTTTAAGCAGGGCTTGTGAGCACAGTGCCCATGGGTGGGATGGTGCTCTAGAGGTCTTCCCCTGGTGCCCACAAAGCCTCTGAGCGCAACTCACCCCACTCATTGTTCCCCTGGTCATGAGGTGTGAGGGCTGTTGCCTTTTTCTCCCTTGAAAAGTACATAGAGCAGGAGGAGGAAGTTGAAAGAGTGATGGTCTTTCTCACTTCCTCTTTCAGGTCTATGGCTCAGATTAATTCCACTGGGTATGATTTTTACCCAGATCCCTTGGAAAAGCAAAGGTTTTTTGTGTGCACGTTCTTTCTCCCATGGGCGAAGGGCTGGACCAAAGGAGGGAGAGGAGAAGGGAACAAAGTGGGTGGTGCCTACAGCACTTGCTCAAAAATGCAAAGGCCTAAAAAGGTTGGTGACTCCAGTTTTAAAGTACCGTGTGAATCAGGCTGTAGAGTTCAAGTCATAATATTTAGGCAGGTTCTTAAGATGTTGGAAGTTGAGCGTTTTACATTTTTCTTGTGTAATGCTTCCAATTTCTGTGCAGGTGCCTCCTCCCCCACTTCGAGACCCCTCCTGCACCACCACTGGAGAAGAAGGCAGCCCTACAACTTCAGCTTCATGTGCGAAGCTCCTTTCTGTGACCAAAGCCAGCAACACGGACAACCATGTTCCTAGTTTGAAAAGGAAGAGGATAGGTAAGCGGTTGCCTTTTCCTGTTGTGCAAAATAGGCACTGGAATAATCTCACCTCAGAATCTTAAAAAGGCAAGGTGTACTGAGGTCATAAAATGTCAACAAAACGAGCTACGGAAAGTTGAAACAACAAATATTTGTCTGAAGGCAGTTCTGGCATGGGGGAGGGCAAACAAGCCAAGACTTGAGAATTGCTGCTGTTAGATAAGACTCCTCATGTAGATAGAAGCTTGTAGCATGCATGGGTAATTTCCAGGACTTGGTACTATTTATGGAACTGCAGGTGACATCAGTGGCTAGGAGTACCTCTTCCCATCTTCATTTTGTTCAGCAGCAGTGTTTAGAGAAAACAGACGTGGCCTGAATTACACATGCCTTGGTTGCATCTTGGGTAGATTACAGCAACACTCTTTTGTTGGGCTGCCTCTACAGAGAGTATTTATATCTCACCTTTTAGACTAAAACCCTCACAAGGCAGCTTACAGCAGCCACAGCAATTAATAATAGTATGACAGACAATAAAACACAGAAAACAAAATCAGTGCATCAAAAATTAAAATAGCAACAACTAAAACATGAAGCCAGATAAAGGCATCATTGAAAAGCAAAGTGGAATTAGAAAGTTAATTAAGGAACCTTCTTTAATGTCACCAATGAAGGGCCTATAAATAACTCCTAGTGGAGGGAATTCCACAAAAGTAGGGCCACCACTGAAAAGACCCTATCCCTTGTACATGCTAAACTGATGCTATTTAGTGATAGGCTAGAAAGAAGGGCCTTTGGGGCCAATATCAGGACCCAGTCAGGTATAATATGGGCACAGATTTTCCTTCAGGTAGTCCTATGCCAAATTAAAACAATGTTATTTAAAGCAAATCAGAAGTAAATGAGATATCTAGAGCCAAACATATAGGAACAGACCATACCAAAATAAAACATAATAAATTAATATCACAAAGTATTAATATCCAAGTAACACAAATGGATTTACATACTTCTGTACTTTATTAGCCTTTGAGATCAGTTCCAGCTTAATTATTACTTCCCCTGCAGCTGTGGTTTCCTTAAAGGAAGTCAGTATGAACCCATAAAAAATGTTAATCACTTGTGTTCTCATAAAAGGTGGTTTCTATGTATTTAAGACCAGCGTCAGCATTTAGTCAAATATACCAAATGCACCAGAATGATTTGAATGGGGAGAGCCTCTAGATTTACCATATTTAACAATGCTCAAAAGTCCTCTATGTAGTCATATATTATTCAGCTGTCTCTTTTGAAAACTTCTGCAGGAGCATAATCTTTACCATAATAACAAAACTTTCCCTAAAACTTAGTACATACATGCTTTGCTTTTAGTCCCAGATTTTTGTTTCATTTCCTTGTCCATGGATGGAGAGGGCATCTTCCTGACACTTTAGTGGACTGAATCTTGCTGCCAAGTGCTTCAAACTTCTGCTTTATTGTTTGTGTAACTTTCAGACTGCCCTTCATTCTGAAGGATCCCAGGGTTGTGCACAAATAAATACACATTAAAAATAATGATGATGATGACAAACACTTTTAAATACCCCTTATCTGTCCAGTTGATCACTGCACTCTGAAAGTGAGGACTTCCTGAATTACCATCTTATCAGGAAATCCCTTCTGCACAATTTGGGAATCTGCACATTAGTGTTATGGCATCTGCATTTTTGAATTCCCTCCCCTTGAATATTATTATTATTATTATTATTTATTTATTTATTTTTATTATCTATCTATCTATTTATTTTTATTATTATTATTATTATTATTATTATTATTATTATTATTATTATTTATTTTCAACTTATACACCACACTATAGCCAAAGGTCTCAGGGCCGTTCACAAGAAGACCACAACTTATAAAATCAAACCAAAAGCAGTAACCCAATAACTCCCCCTCCCAAAAAAATCCACATTCTAAAAGGTTGTTGGATGAATATTAGGCACCCTCTCTGTTGTTGTTTTCAGTGTCTACTGAAAACCTTCCTCTTTCAACAAGCTTTTTAAGTGGGGATATTTCCTAGACTGCAGCTGTACTGGAATTATTTGTAAGATCTTTTTATTGTTTGCTTGTGGCCCACATGCTCAGAACATTTTGTCCCCAGCTGAATTTGAAAATAGACTTCTTGCTGGTCATGCTTTTAAAGTGGAGGATGCTTACCTTCCAAAGACAGAAATTGGTATAAATTTTAGGATTCTTCTCATTTTATTCTGAACATCTAAACTGGATATACTCTTCTTTTTACTTCTCCTCCTCCTCCTCCTCCTCCTGTCTCAAACTGATGTAACCCTGAGCAGAGAAAAATGAGTTGGGACATTCAGAATCTAGGTACTTACAGGCTGTGTATCTTGTCTCAGATAATGGAGTGGCCAGCCTGTGTGTAGAGTATGACCAAAGGCCGTCCACCTCACAAAGACAACCTGGTAGCCTCTTGGCTGCACTGGAGTGCAATGAAAAGAACTGCAGAGAGGCAGGTGAGGAAGACAGCTTGCCAGGAGAGGAACAGGTATGAGAGCACAGTTTGAGTTTCTAGTCCCTGATTTCTCCCCACCCTCTCCCGAAACAGGTAATAGACTAGTGTGCTTCTGTTAGGCAGAGATCTTGGGCTACAGAGGTGTCACTCAAGCACCACTTTTTACATGCTACAGTGAACACTACGAGTACACCTGGGTGTACAGGTGTGTGCCTAAGATTCCCATGAGCCAGGGCTTCTCAGTTTTCTCCAGAGCCTGCATGTTTCTTGTTTATTATCTGTTAACAAACAGTATCTGTTTCGTTTTACTGTCGTAGACAGAGTCATATAACAGCACTATATTGCTGGAATGAGATGTGTCTATTCAGTTTTCTCAGATTCTTGGATTCTCAGGTCAAAGCCAGCTCTTCTAGGCAAGGCACTTGAGGTCCATTTATTGGCTGTCCTGTCCCTTTAATGTGTAAAGGTAAAAAAGCAGGCGGGTAAATTCACAGCATAGTGCTGGAGGAAGGGCAGGGGTTAATCCTTTCCCCGTTTGCTGTTTTCCAGATAGAAATTGCCTGTGTGATTTGACCCACTGGGGAGAACTTAAGCATATCCATGTGTTTTCCCTAAAAGGGTGTTTTCCCACTCAAGGAGTGGGGGGAGCAGGGTCTAAAAAAACCAAAACACTTCCAGTATTATGGTTGCAATCTGAATCTCCCTCACCACACATTCACTTATCCCTTAGTTACTTAGGACCCTCGTACCCACGGGACCACCTCTCCTGGTATGCCCCACGGAGGACTTTAAGGTCCATAAATAACAACACTTTGAAGATCCCGAGCCTCAAGAAGGTTAGATTGGTCTCAACTAGGGCCAGGGCCTTTTCAGCAATGGCCCGGACGAGCTGGAACGCTCTGTCACAAGAGACTAGGGCCCTGCGAGATTTGACATCTTTCCACAGGGCCTGCAAGATGGAGCTGTTCCGCCTGGCCTTTGGCTTAGATTCACTCTGACCCCTTATATGGGATTTGGTATATAAATTTTTTCTTGGCTTTTTTGCTGGCCCTTGTAGGACCAGCAGGGATAGCTGGCTCAGGTGAATCTGATGTTTCCCCCCTTTATGGTCTTGATTTAAGGGCTACTACTAAAAGGAGAGGGACGCAGGTGGTGCTGTGGTCTAAACCACAGAGCCTAGGGCTTGCCGATCAGAAGGTCGGCGGTTCGAATCCCCGCGACAGGGTGAGCTCCCGTTGTTCAGTCCCAGCTCCTGCCAACCTAGCAGGTCGAAAGCACCTCAAAGTGCAAGTAGATAAATAGGTACTGCTCCTGCGGGAAGGTAAACGGCGTTTCCGTGTGCTGCTCTGGTTCGCCAGAAGCGGCTTAGTCATGCTGGTCACATGACCCAGAAGCTGTCTGCGGACAAACGCTGGCTCCCTTAGCCTATAGAGCGAGATGAGCGCCGCAACCCCAGTGACTGGACCTCACGGTCAGGGGTACCTTTACCTTTACTAAAACGAGGCTTCATTTTAAGCTGTATTTTAAGCCGTTTTTTAAAATTAACTGTTTGTTGTTGTTTCTGTTCCATTTTATTGTAATTCATATATGGTGTTATTATTAAATCTCACTGCTTGATAATATTGGCTCTGAGTTGACCTGATTTTTTTCAAATGTTAGCAGCCTATTTTTTATTTCTGTTTCTGTTGAATTCCCCCCGCCGACCCACCTTGAATGTGAGGTTACTAAGAGATGCAGAAGAGATTGACCATAGCTTTGAAGTGCTAGCATTACTTTCCAGTTAGGGAAACCCCACATTTCTAAACATTGGCTTGCTTTTCCTCCACATCTCCAGGACAATGACTTCCCTTTGTTCTCTCTCCATTAAGTGGGTGTCTTCCCAGAAATGTGAACATCCTTTCATGCACGACATACCTAGTCAGAGCAAAGATTGCTTTTTTGTTCTTGATCATTGCTGGGAGGTCAAGCCCAGCCTTCAGTGCAGAATTCTTCTGAAAGAGAGGGAGGAGATTGCATTAACACTGTTAACATTTACAGGCAAAACGTTTGTCAACTCTCTCCCTTCGATACGAGAAGAAGCTCATGGATGAGCAGAAAGGAGGCAGGAAGAAAATCAAGATAGTCAGCAATCCGGTATGTTTCAAGGAGTCAGCGAGCCTTACGAGAAATCAGATAGGAGAAAGATGAGAGACCCTCTTGAAGCCACATGCAGGTGTTCTCGTTCAAATGCTTCATTGTTCAAAAAGCACAGGTGCCCTCTTGAAAATGGTGGTCTCCAAAAGCCAAAATGCAGATGAGTCACTTGGGGAAACCTTCGGCATAAAGGTTTAGGTTAGTAATGGGAAACTATTTCCATCCCAAAAGCCACTTTCCTCGGCAGCCTTTCAGGGGCCTCATGCCAGTGTTAGGTGGGGCCAAGTGCTGAACCAGGCACAGTGATGCATAGAGCTGTTACCTTTGCATGGTAGGTTCCATTCCAGCCATGCAGAAGTCAGAGGTTTCCATATATATACACACACACACCCTTCTCCATCCTCCTTCCAGGCAAACAAGTCATTCCAGGCAGGCAGGTGGGCGAAGGCACTTAAGGAGGGCATGGCACGTGGGACCAGTGGGACCCACGGAGGGTCTTGGCCCACATTTGGTACCCAGGCTTGTAGTTTCCCACCCCTGGTTTATTTTCTGAAGCTCATCTCCTAAAACCTTTTGGTTCCACAAACCTTCCCAGGCATTTAATGCAATGTACCATTGTTTTTAAGTTGTCGCTCTTTGTATTTAAAAACTATGCATGACCTTGTTTTTTAATGCTTGCTTTTGTTGGTATTTTTAATGAATTTGCTGGTGTTTTTAATCTGCAGGTATTTTTAATTACTATTTTAGATTTCCCTTTGTAGGACAAAGAAGAAAACTGCTTAGAGGTTTTCTATCAATTAAGTGGTATATACACTTTGTTAAATAAAATAAAACAATTCCATCTTCCCTTGGCTGCTTCAGAGAAGGGAGAAGTCTTCTTCCCTAATCATTAGTTACAAGGAAGAAATTGGGTCCAGAGAAGTGTGTGCAAAAAAGAGCTTGCTTGCGGATCGTGCTTACTTAAATCTCTCTCTCTCTTTTCTTTAATTTCAGCAGCCTGGCAAAGCCCAAGACCTCTCAGAGACTAAAACTGCCAGGGCTGCAGCTTTCATTGCAACAGTGAAGCAGTCTTTGAGCCAGCTGAATTTTAACACGTTCTCAAGGGCTCTGCAGCAGTACAAAACCACAAATGACTTCAGTACTATGTTGTGCCAGATGAGCTCACTTTTCGTGGAAGACCAGAAAAAACATGTCCTATTGCGAGGTATTGTGGCCCCTGGACATCTCTTCTGGGCACCTGCTGGTTTTCATGCACAAATTATGATGGTTAATGAAAGGTCTTCTGCAAAGTGCAATGCAGGAGACATAACCTGTGTGCTGGTTGCACTTTTTATCTTTTTATTGTTATTGTGCAAACAGGTAATGTTGGCTGTTTTTATCGTCTCGCTGAAGAAATCCATTTGGATTTGCGATTGTGTATCTGTGATACTGGAAAAACAAGCAGTTTCCTCGCTCAGCCCTAACTCTTTTAGGATGCAGATGCACGTTCTTTCTGCTTGGTTATATAGGAGAGGGGGAAATAGTCATTGTTTTGTGATCTAAAGCAGACAGAAGGAGACATCAGAAGGGGGGAAATTGAGGTATTGGGACAACATGGGATAGACACTGTGGAATAATATCAATAAAATTAAAATAATCAGGCCAATGGCCTAACCCTTTTGCCCATGTGTTCTTAGAAGATGTGGTGGTGGCCACTGGCTTAGAGGCTTTTAAAAGGCGATTGGACAAATTCATGGTTGGAGGAGGGTGGTCTTTCAAAAGCTAATAGTTGTGATAACTAGATGGAAGCTCAGATGCAGCATGCCTCCAGATACCAAAGCGGGGAGAGGAGGAACAATGAGGGAGCTCTTGCCTTTATGGGCTTCCCAGAAGCATCTGTCTGGCCACAGCTTGAAATGACATGCTGGACAAGACAGAGTGACCCTTGGATCTAATCCAGCAGGGCTTTCCTTTTGAAGATGGTTTTGAAAGAAATTTGGTATTAGCGGCAGTTTCCCATCACTTGTCAGAACTTGAATAGACTGTAACATGAGCTATGGAAAGTTAATCTCAAGGTGGGCAAGTTGCCTTTTGTCAATGTGCTACTGTTGTTCCCTGAAAATACTTTGGAACAGGCAGGTGGGGGTGACACATTTCTAGGAACGTATTGATGCCTTCCTGAACAAAGCACCGTTTCAGTGTTTACCCTTCCTTCTTTTCTATGCAAGAATTTTACCAGTTTGTTCGGCCGCAGCACAAAAAGCAGTTTGACGAAGCTTGCTGTTCCCTGACGGGAGTGGGCTGTGGCTACAAACCTGAGCACAGCCTGAAGCTGGAGGAGAGGCTGCGGCTGGCCAAGAACCCAGGTGAGACCAGGAGTTGGCAGCCCTCTGAGAGTTCCTGCCTCTCTGTATGTTCTCAGTCAGGATCAGGGAGGGATTCTTGTCTTTAGAATGCTTGCATCATTGCTCTGTCATCCCGAGTTGCTGCCCATCTCATCATTAAGTCCTTAAAGATCCCAGTGACTGAAGGGAAGAGCTGGGGTCGAGGAATAACTTTTAAGCCACAGCCTCTGAGCAGCCTTGGCCGTTACCTCCATTGCTGCTCCATTGCCTAGCAGCTGAAGGGGCAAGTCTGTTCTTATTTACTGACCCAGAGCCAGGTCTTCATAAGTTCACTCTCATAGCCATACATACTGGAGTTGCCAGTTGGAATGCTGTTCACTTAGGATTGCAGGAAGCTTCCTTACACCTAGTTCACCTAGCTCAGTGTTCCCTGCTCTGACTGCCAGCAGCTCTCTGGAATTTGCTGCCAAGGGGTGTGGTGGAGTCTCCTTCTTTGGAGGTCTTTAAGCAGAGGCTTGACAACCATATGTCAGGAGTGCTCTGATGGTGTTTCCTGCTTGGCAGGGGGTTGGACTCGATGGCCCTTGTGGTCTATTCCAACTCTATGATTCTATGATTCTGGGGTTTCAGTAATTGAACCCGGAACCTTTTGTAAGCAAAGCATGTGCTCTGACAACAAGCTACCGGTAATTCAAATTCAAAAATCCTTTTTTAGGCATAGCAAACCACACATTATCAAACAGACACCGTATACAAATTGTGCAAAATATGAGCTCAGCATAACAAGGTTTGTCCCAATCAGATCTTTAACTCCAAAGGAAATCAATTTGCATAAATAATACAATACAACACTACCACATCACCAATCAATTAAGAACCACTAAATCTCTTTATAATGGCCCAGTCTTTCTACATGGACAGCACCCAAAAATTCAGCCACTATTAAAGTAATTTGATCATTCCTGTCCAAAAGCAGGTCCTGAACCGTTGGTATCATAGAATTCAGCCTATTGAGTTGTAAGGCCTCTAATAATTGTCTTCTGGCATAAATGCCAAAATCACAAGAAAAGAAAATATGCTCCAAAGTATCAGGTTCCTGTTTGCTACATTTGCAGAGACGCTCTGATTCTGGGAGAGCTAAATATCTTCCTTTCACTATCATCGAGGGAAACATATTAAACTGCCAACAAGCTTATGGCAACTTCTTTGGAAGAAGTGCTAAAGACCCTCAGAGCCCGTGCCGTTGCTAGAAGAAGCTTATGCCTGCATGGTTAGTGGATATAACATAGGAACAACCTGGCAGCACCGTCCTCCTTGAGTCCTAACCATTTTGTGGAAGCTGTCAATCAGGGACAGGTAACCTGTGATCCTCTAGATCTTGTTGGATTTCCAACTCCTAGCCAGCGTAGCCAGTAGTTTAGCTCCTTCCTATAAGTCCTAGCCAAGGATAAAGGCCTTCTTAGTAATAACGCTGGGGTGCACCCTACATACTCCATTTAGGGGCTGTATTCAGTTATTCCTAACCTGGTAGGACCTTGCATTACATCATGGGTTTCTTAACTCTGTGAGAGTTTCTTCCTTAACAAAGGACAGGTTTCTAGAGCAGCAAACACGGAAATCATCTCTCTCCACTTTCTCTGTGCCATGCATAACTTTAAAAACCTTGATTATATCCTCCTTTGCTTGCCTTTTTTTCAAAACTAAAAATCCCCAGATGTTGTAACCTGGCCTTTTAAGGGAGTTGCTCCAGCTTGCAAGAGGAAGAAAATCACCCCGTGTCAATTTGACTTCAAATGTTTCCCTAAAAGTAATTAAAATATTATATAAACCCATGGTCCCACTGGTTTCCTACCTGGACCCTGAACTGAACTTTCCAGTCTCTTACTAAAGCTCCATTTGGCTCATTAGACCAAAGTTCCATTGAATTTCCCTCCTAGAATATCATTCTCCACCCAGAACTATCCTCTGCTGGGTGGATAGCACACTTGGTTAGACTAGAGCCTGGTGCTGATAACACCAAGGTTGCAGGTTCGATCCCCGTCAGGGTCAGCTGCACATTCCTGCATTTCAGGGGGTTGGATTACGTGTTCCTCAGGGTCTCTTCCAACTTCATGATTTACGGTATTTTGGATGTGTCCAAAATACCATAAATCAGTGACTAATATATGATATGTCAGTGACTAAGATGCTCTTGTGCTTCATTCCCTAATCTAGCTTTTCTGTGGTGAATTCAGTCTTTCATAGACCTCAAGACCTCTCCTTTGCACTGATAGGAAATACTCCCACTAAAAATCTGTTGCATACTCAATATTATACTGATATTATATTGGCTCTGCCAGACCATTTCAGCATACTAGTTCTGTTTTTTGTTCTCTAAACAAGTATGTCTTGCTCAGACCTAATTGAGGAGGCTTACTGCAACCATGGCCAAGTGCCATTTTGGGGCACTGCTACCTCAGCAGCCTTGTGGTGCTGAAAAGTACCTCAAAGTTCATCTAGTCCAGCTCCCTTCAGTGCAGGAATCTCAACTAAAGCATCCATGACAGATGACCATCCAACTTCGCCTAAAATCCTCCAATGAAGGAGAGTCCACCACCTTCCAAGGGAATCCATTCCACTGTTGAACAGCTCTTACCATCAGAAAGTTCTTCCTGATGTTTCACTGAAATCTTTCTTGTAACTTGAAGCCATGGGTTCAGGTCCTGCCCTCGGGAGCAAGCAAGAACAATTGAAGATGGCTATCAAGTCTACTCTTTTCCAGGCCAAACATACACAGCTCCCTCGACCCAGTCCGATAGCCTTGCCATGCCACTGGAAAACTACCCTTCAGATAGGCACCAATTGTACTTCTTATTGTACGCCACTTTGGTATTGTTTTAATGAGATACAGTATATATGGCATACAAATATGTGCTATATTTTAAATAAAAATGGTCAGAATTGACCTCCCTTAGGAAGAAGTTGTTATTCTGTTCATTCTTCCTATTGTTTGGGAAAGGGATTTTCCTGTCATTTTAGGATTAAGAATAAGGATACATTGCAATGATTTCGTTGGACTTCCTTTCTTTTGTTCTTAACGTACTCTCAAGACTTCCCACCTTCATTCAAGCAATTTTTGTATCTCGTTCTCTTTGATATTAGAGAAGAAATGTGATGAGAAAACCACATTTTCGGATGGTTCAACTGGGCAGCTGAACACTGAGCAGCATTTGAATAAAGGAGGTTCCCACCTAACTTTTGAGTCGGACGGTGCAGGTACGCTTCCTGTAAAGAAATGCATAAAGTATGTTAATGGCAGGAGCAATAAAACTTGATTTTAGTTCCTGTATGTCAATGAAAGTAAAGAAAGAAAAGTGGTCCCTTGAAACAAACCTTCACACGTTCATTGGGCTGATATTAAGATCACGAGATTGCACACGAACTCCCCCCCTCCATCGAACAACCCTATGTTTTTAATTTTATAATTGTAATGATTTTTATTTAGTTTTATTTTAATGGCTTCTAACGCAATCATGAAATGTTTGGGGTTTGTTGTGAAAGGCAGCAAATAAATCAAGGATGGGGAACTTGTGGTCCTTCAGCAACTCCCAGCATCCCTGACCACTGGCCATGTTGGCAGGATGGATGAGAATTTGATTCCCACAATTTACAAAGAACCAGAGGCTCACTAACCCCAATATCAGGGTTAAGATTAAATAAATCTGTGAGTCACTTTTGACTCATTGAGTTAGTTTTGACTCACACACGATTTGCGTACCCTGTACATGTTAAATTTCTTTTTTGTTATCATTTTTCAGCATTGCACATCCATCACTAAGGAGGAAACTTTACCTATGGCTTACATCAGTGTGTATTAAGAGATGTTGGGCAGTATGCAAATCAATTGCTGTGCTAGCAAAACAGGATCCCACCTCCTCCAAAAAGGGGGAAAACCCCAAAAACCCTAACAAGGAACATTCTTAACTTTGCTTCCATCTGTTTTCAGACTGCTGTCCTGTCCTTATGTGCCTTGCCTTGTGCTTTCTAACAGGAGGAAACAGTGCCTGTGTCACTGCTGAGCCCTCCAAAAAAGCGCCCAGCTCCCTAAAGGAGAGCCGTAACCAAATAATCCGATCAGCCTACCTGAGTGACCTCAAGGTGGCTCTGGACCAAAGCAGCTTCAGCAGTTTCTTTTCAGCCCTGTCAGCATACAAGAAGACTGATGACTACGGTGCCATGGTGTCTGTGGTTGCAGCCCTCACCACAGAGAAGCCAGAACATTTCCATCTGCTACAAAGCAAGTATCTGCCCGATTGTTTCTCAGAGTGTCTTGCTGCCCGCATAACTCTGCTCTTTCCACCCACATGTTACTAAGCCTGTTCCTCAGCGTGGTGGGGCAGTGAGTTCAGCTTCCATCGCTAACAAGCTGCGCAACAACCGTGGCTGAACTTCTTTATGGCACATCAGTATCAGATACGGATGGGGGAGAAATTTGCATTTTGAGCCGAATTTATTTCATTTGAAAAGGTTTGCGGATTGAAACACATCTAGGCTTTGAAATTCACCTTTCCAACCAGAAGCATGCTGGAAAATACATATGTTAAGGGCAATAGTTCATATACAGCGAAGGTGCCTACTTTGATATCAGCAAGCAGGGAGTGTGGGTGCTGCCACACTAAATAATCCGAGTTCTTACAAATGCAGGTAATTGATTTGGATAGACAACAGTTCCGCTAATAAGCTCAGCTACCTCTAAGGAGGTAAAAGATTAAGTACCGTGCGGAAGAGGCACTCTGTCTTTTCATCTCACTAGATTACTTTAGAAGCACCTTTACACTCAGACAAGTTGACTCAACAGGCCAGCTCTGGATCTTGTACAGTCATCCTTGGCACTAGACATATTTAACCAGAAAACTGCAAGGCTTCAGACTTATCATAGTTGACCTCTGTAGGTCTAAGACAATCATGCAATATTCCATACTGGTTCCCAAGAGGATTTCCCCAGCATGTGGGTTTTTTTTGGGGGGGGGGGGGCAGACAAGAATGCAAACGTTTTTGCTGCTCTTTGTGTGAATATGACATTCAAAGAGTCTTTCTGACTAGTAAAATGATTCCGCCACAGTACAGTGGTGCCTCGCAAGACGAAAAGAATCCGTTCCGCGATTCTCTTCGTCTTGCGGTTTTTTTGTCTTGCGAAGCGAGCCCATTAGTGGATTAGCGCTATTAGCAGGCTTAGCGGATCAGCTGATAAGCGGCTTAGCTGGCTTAGCGGATCAGCTGATAAGCGGCTTAGCGGGCTTAGCGGATCAGCTGATAAGCGGCTTAGCGATCAGCTGTTTAGCGGCTTAGCGGATCAGCTGATAAGCGGCTTAGAGGCTTGGGGAAAGGGGGGGGAGAGAAAAAACCCTGCAGGAACTCGCAAGACATTTTCGTCTTGCGAAGCAAGCCCATAGGAAATTCGTTTTGCGAAGCACCTCCAAAACGGAAAACCCTTTCGTCTAGCGAGGCATTCGTCTTGCGGGGCACCACTGTAGCTGGAAACCAGAACAGGCTGGATTTAGTGACTAGCCAAGAGGGGTTTTTTGTTGTTGTTGGTCTTGGTCATTTTGAAGTAAAGTGTTTTCCCCATTCCCCTGGAATTCCATGGCTTATAACAAGCTGGCTCCAACTGTGTGTGCACGTCATTATTTGTTTATGTTCACAGGGTTCTCCATGTTTGTGCGTCCCCATCACAAAAAACAGTTCAGACAGATGTTTAAAGAGCTGACTGGAATGAGCTGCCCTGAGGAGAGCGAGGAGGCTCTGTTACCAGCACAGGAGGAGGGCTCCCTTGGCTTGAGGGACTCAAACTGCACGGCGGAAGAGAGTAAAACTCAGGATAAAGCTGCCAGCCCAATCCCAGGTTTGAGTTGCTTATTTCAGTACAGTTTCCCCTCCTCCCCAAATAAGTCTGCTCCAGGTTTTCTTCTTTCCATCCACCGATAAGGGAAATAAAAAGAAGTTGCAGCCTTCTCCTGTTCAGTGAATCAGAGGAAGATTAACACAAGATTAAGGATAAGATACAGCAGCCTGGTTTTTTTTTGCAGTGAAATTTGCTGCTTAATAGGAAAAATGTGGCACCCCCAACCCTGGAACAACAAGCAAAAATGAGGCAGAAATGTGGCCTCTTTGTCTGCTCACCAGATAAAATTAAGTTACAGGTAGCCGTGTTGGTCTGCCATAGTCAACAAACAAGCAAACATCTGAGTTAAACTAGAGTCGATTGGCCATCCCTCTCTTGAGTGTCCGGGAAAGGATTGTTGGCCATCAGCCCTGTAGTTATTTAAATTGTGGAGCAAGTACCACGTGTCCTAATCCTGGAGGATGGGTGGCATAAATAAGCAATAAATAAATGGAAGAAAAAACTGCTCATGCATAGTTGTGTGTGCTTTTTGAGATGTTAACTGTATGATCTCCTCTGCAGGTTCCTCCAAGAGTGAGATGCTAGAGAAGATCCTAAGTAATGCCACCCCTATAAGTAACTTGGAATCACAGAACTCCAAGGGAGGTCCAAGCAGTGTCCGCACACCCATGGATTCTGACAGTGTGCCCATCTCACCATTAAGGGGTATGTAAATATTGGTTCAAGGGATGCGGGTGGCACTGTGGGTTAAACCACAGAGCCTAGGACTTGCCAATCAGAAGGTCGGCGGTTCAAATCCTCGTGACGGGGTGAGCTCCCGTTGCTCGGTCTCTGCTCCTGCCAACCTAGCAGTTCGAAAGCATGTCAAACTGCACGTAGATAAGTAGGTACTGCTCCGGAGGGAAGGTAAACGGCGTTTCCGTGCGCTGCTCTGGCTCACCAGAAGCGGCTTAGTCATGCCGGCCACATGACCTGGAAGCTGTACGCCGGCTCCCTCGGCCAGCAAAGCGAGAGGAGCGCCGCAACCCCAGAGTCAGCCACGACTGGACCTAATGGTCAGGGGTCCCTTTACCTTTACCTTACCTTCAAAAGAAACGATACCTCAACTGCATCAGAAATACATTATGAATGCAGTAGCTCAATGACAGGGCATATTCTTTACATGCACCAGGTCCCAGTTTCAGTGTGCTGCACCATCAGCTAAAGGACCTCAAATTTGAAGGGTGGGAAATGTTTGGTTACCTAAAGCCTTGGAGAATGTATGAGTCAAGAGTAGACAGTAACAAATTGGATGGGTTAATAGCCTCATTAAGTAAATAGGAGCTTTACATATTCAGTTGTCTAAAGGCGTTCCAACCTTGCCACTAGCTGCTGTTGCCAAAATTTGAGAAGAAGACAATTCCATTAGTTAGTTCCTATCTGTGTTCATTCTGGCTTCTTCCCAGAAGAGGCTAGAGGTCAGAGTATGTTTTCCTTCATCTCTGCAGTCCTCCGGGAGCTATAATATCAAACAGCAATAAATCTGACAGCTTCTGTTGTACGTATTTTATCTGTGCAAAAAAGGCCACTACTGTGTAGGGGGGCAGTACTTCAGCTGCCAAAAGGAATCCGTCTTTTAACAGTCACACTCTTTTTCAATTTTCCAGAAGGGTTCCAGTGTGGGAAATGCAAATCTGAGCATAGTGTGCCTTTTAAATGCCAGCTGTGCGACTTCACTTGTTGCAAATTGTGCTGGGAGAGTCTCCTAAAGGTTGGTTTTGCTTGTCGAAGTTTTGCTTTCTCCTTTCCTCAAAACAACATTGTCTGATTGGTTTCCCTGTTCACTGGTGGAGCAGCTACTTCATAATATTGTAATGGAGCCATTTTCCCGGTCATAGCTGGCAGGGTTAGTGCCAGATTGGCAGTGTGTCTGCACCACCAGCATCACAGCCTTGTCCCTCCTGGTAAGCCGTAGTAACAGTGTGATAGGAGGTCAGGTAAGCAGCTGCATCCTGCCCTGCTCACCACTACTGGCCATTACTTACTTTCCCTGCCTCCCAAGATGTGTGACTTGCACATTTTAAAATCTGTTTTCAACTGTGGAGTTGTTACAGTTTTCCTCTGCCAGAAAAAAATGGGTTGTTCTTGTGGTCCATTGCAGCCATAGGCATCCTCTCTCTCGTGAGGCAGTGGCACAAACAAGCATGCACAGAGCTTTCAGAAGGTACCAATAGCACCTGGTCATTCAGCTTTATTCAGGGAGTGTGCATTGCAGAGAAGGACAATATGTGATTTTCCATGTTCGTTCTTTGGAGCACATGAGTCAGTCATCTGGTTACGCATTTAAATGGTATGGGTTGCAAGCTTTAATCTCTTGATCAGTTTAAATTGTATGAAATTACAGTTGAAAAATGTTCCCTGTTTCATGGTAAGTATATGCAAATGCAATTCTTCTCTGAGCTATCATTGTTCCGGTTAAGCTGATTAATGAGAGAAGATAGGATGACTGAGGGAGCAGCAAGTACAGGGAGTTACTGTTAGAATTCCTGCTCCATGATTGCAGTCATGACATTGTTGTCTATCACATGACGGTGTATATTTTGACTCCAAAGAGGGAGGTGACGGAGACAGGATGTCTGTGTTACTGTGTTCCATGAAGTGGGACTATTGTCCTTTGTTCTTTCTCTTTGCTGCCTGATGCTAGAGAGAGAGGGAGCCATGTTGCAGTGTTCCATGTGTGTTTATATGTAAATAAAGTAGATTAGCCAACATGCTGAGTTGCTGAGGTCTGTCACGCAGGCATGATTGCAGTGTACTCTGGGTCTGTCACGCAAGTTGTGAAGACTCTGCGGATCTCTAAGTGTGCCGATGTCTGTTGGCATTGGTTGCTGTGATGTTCGGGCAGAAGAAAGCTTTTGAAGGTCCCGAACAAACGACCAGGAGAGAGAGAACATGCCAGTCGGGTATGTGTCTCTACCAGGGTCCTACTCGAGTGTAGGCTGAGCTCCTGACAGTTCCCCCCCCCCATATTAATCATGGAATTGCAGCAGTTCCAGAGAAAGAAAACCACCAGTTGGCAGTGATCCTTTATGCTTATTTGAAACAGAGCTTGTTGAGTAGGGGCTCCTGCCAACTCCTACCCTGCTTCCCATTACATCTCGCCCCAAACCCTCATCCCCTTACACAGCTTTTATATCCAATCCCATCCCCATCCCCTTCTACCTGCCTCCTCCACCCCATTGCCAATCCCCATCCCTGCACATCTCTTTCCAAACTCCCTGGAAGTTCACCCCAAACTCCTCCATGGGCCACAGCTCACCCAAAACTTCCCTGTCCCTCAAGAGTGTGAAGCCAGCCCCCTTTCTTACAGGAGTAATGCGCCAGGCATGATTGCAGTGTACTCTGGGTCTTGAACCAGGCAGCCCTGGCAGCCAAAACTTAGCTCTTCTTGTCTCACTAAGGCATGTAGGTCATTAGGAGGTATCAAGCGAGCTCTCTGCCCCTTTTGGGCACCAACAGGGCAGCAAGAGAAAGCATCTAATCATCACAGAGAAATGAGGCGTATTTAGGTTACCAAATACAGTGGGCAGCATGTGGAATTATGCCTTTGGAAAGTTCTCCCTGACAAGTGACCTGTGAGTTGGGTCCTTGAAGCATTCATCTTCTTCCATGAAGTGCCAACAAAATAACATGCATGGTCAAGCAGCATGGCCAGTTTGCAAAAATCAGCTAATGTTTCCCCTGATGGGAAAGAACCTGACTCAGACATTATCAGGGGGTGTGGGAGGCAATGCCAGTGAAAACTGAGGTCAGCAACTGTTACCCAGAACTGCGGTGAGTTCACTTCTTTAACACCTTTGGAACGATTTTGCTTCCTCCTTTCCTAGACTGGGATTGCATAAACGAAGCAGGAACTTAGAAATGGGCTCTAAAATCCAGAGTTGGGCAATGCCTTTTATTAGAACTAACCAAAATGACACAAACGTGTGGCAGCCTTTTGAGTTCGACCAAAAACAAAGTGAAGGGGAAACGTGTGTCAACTTCATATTTTTATTAGAATAATAAATCATTAAATAACCTGTCAGATGAATAAATGCTTCAGTAATAAAGCCATAAGACACCCAAAGTCTGGTGTGCAACCCCTATCTGTCCCAAACCTTAAATAAAATATGCAGGTTCATGAGATAAAGGAAGAGCAGAAGATACTTAGAAATCAAACTGTTAACTAAAGTTAGATTATCTCCCTCAGTTGGCCAAGCATTCTGCAAGCTTTGCATTGCTTCTCTATTATGGCTTATTGTTCTTTGAAGTTCATTAAAAGAGTTTTTTCACCCTGTGGTAACCTTCAGTTGGAGAAGCCATTCTGCAATTCTTGGCTTTAAGGAAGCAGGTTCTTAGATTTGGCTTTTAAGTACATGACTGACCCTTGTGTGCTTTGCTTTTATTTACTAAACTAGCTGCTGCTGCCCTTACCTGTTCTGCTCACCAACCCCGCTCCCCCCCCCCACCTGACCAAACACCCCTCCCTTTACCCCAACCTATCCTCTATCGCCAAACCCCTTTAAAGAAGGGGGGTTCTTTAGAGAGTCATTTGCAAAACGGCTCTCTGAAGTGTCTCCCTCACCTGTTAAACCTCTCTGGGGACGCATGTGACAGGGATGGTGGGGAGGTGTTTCAGAGCAAACTGCTCTCTGAAGCATCTCTCCCCCTTCCCATTAAACCTTCCCTCCCCAGTCATACATCCTTACCAGATCTTGGAAGCAAAATGAGTGATAGAATTCGGGTTAATCATGTGTGAGTCAGATGCCGCCGATTGAGCACCAAAAGCTTACTTCTTGTTGTTCTTGGCCCTTTGTATGAGTTCTTGGCAGAATGGCAGACGTCAAACATCTTTATTGTTCTTAGTGGAGTTGCTCATGTTGGGCAGTGTTCATTTTCTTTTTCTTCTGTTTTCTGCTTCACCCCCACCTCACCCCTCAGGGTGCCAAGAAGTGCCCGGAATGCAAAGCTGATACCAAGAAGAGACATTTATCTATGAATTATTGGCCAGATCCCCAGTGAGAGAGGTATACATTGAGGCAAAAATAGCCCAGGACCATGGAAAGGAAGCAATGTGTACATTTGTTTTAAGCAAGCTGCTCTTTGTTCTCTGGACTGATGTTGCCACCTCATGCCGCCACCCTCTTGCTGAAGTTCTTCCACCAGAAGAGATTTTCAGCGCACAGCAGAAGCTTGGAGAAGCAGCATTGTCTTCACGATGACAGATGGCAGCAGAAGGTGAAAGGACAGAGTGATCTTTTAGAATTACAGTTCCCCTGATACTCTCAAACATTCTAACACTTTTGCAGCTGTTGGGCTCTTAGAATGACGTTTTTACACAAAAGCATAAAATCATTTTTCTTATAAGAGTCTCTTCAGTGAGGCAAGATAATTATGGCTTGTCTCCCTGTGGACAGTTTGTGGCTTCCATGCCTGCTTTGTAAAAGCAATCACTTTGTAGGTGCTAAAAAAACTCTTTGAGGTGCTGGCAGGCCTTGTGATCTGTTTGCCAGCTGCCTACCAAAAGAGTTCAGAGAAACTGACCAAATGAAAACCTCAAATTGAGGTGGGTTATCTGCTCATTAGAAAGGCTGTGCGTATAGTCAGCTGTCAATTTTGATAGTTGAAGTCAGTGTAATTAAGTCCTGAGCTGGTGCTCAGGCTAATTAAATAGAAAGCCTCTGAATTTTGCTGCTTGTGCCTCGTGTCGGAAACTTCTGCTGATAAGAAGGGATTCTGCTCTACTCTGCTTTCTGATGCTTCAGAAGGATTTCTGCAACAACCAGTTGGTTCTGTTGCAATAAATAGAAAATAAGTGGAACAAATTTTAAGTACATTAAGTGCTTTTATATTTTTATAAACTGCAAGTATTTTTGTGAATTGAAAAATTGCATCAGTTTTCAGAAGTGGGAAATAGTACGTGTTAAGCTATGTCAATAAATAAAAAATGCATTCGCCGTGTGGCTTCAATATCATCAGCATTCCAGTTACAGATAGGTAGCCGTGTTGGTCTGCCATAGTCACAGTGTGTATCTGAAGAAGTGTGCATGCACACGAAAGCTCATGCCAAGAACTAACTTAGTTGGTCTTTAAGGTGCTACTGGAAGGAATTTTTTTTGTATCAGCATTCCAAACATTGTGAACAGCATCCAGTGATGGCCGCCCACTTGCACAATGGATATCTGCTTATACAATCAGACTCCTGGTTTCTCTTTTCCCCACTCCAGCCCACCACATTAACAAAACTAACAGTTTTTTGCTTATGGTGTGTCACTTGGAAATAAAGCATGTGGGTTAGTCAATCGTGGCTTCAGAGGTAAAGCTAAACAAATGCGGTTGCATTTACTTACTGAAAATAATGCAGGGTTTTGTGGGAGATCACGGCATATGGAGGAGAAAAAGGAAACACGAAATATTTTAAGACTACTGAACACTAGGGAAACAGTTATTTGAGGAGGGTGAGCAGAGCCTTCCAAGGTCTTAGGCATCTCTTACACTAAAATTTAGGACTCCTGGGCATCTGTTTGGTGGGCAGGGGACCAGTGCTATAAGAATAATTAATAACAACAACAACAACAACAACAACAATAATAATAATAATAATTTATTATTTATACCCCGCCCATCTGGCTGGGCTTCCCCAGCCACTCTGGGCGGCTTCCAAAAGAATATTAAAATACTGTGATACATCAAACATTAAAAGCCTCCCTAAACAGGGCTGCCTTCAGATGTCTTCTAAAAGTCTGGTAGTTGTTGTTCTCTTTGACATCTGGTGGCAGTTAAGGCTACAGTGAATGATAGTGGAGGGGGAGCCAGCCTGTACACCACCTCTGATTCAAAGAAGTCTCTATGCAAATAACTGTCCTTAACCATGCGAAAGGCTAGAACAATTGTCCCATGCTTTCTGGCTACAGACCATCTCCTCCACTTCTCCTGACCAGGAGCAGTAGGCTCAATTCTGTAGGGTCCTTCATTGCAAGCGGCTTTCCTGTAGCAAAGCTGCTTGGAGAGGAGGAGCACCTCGCAGGACCAGTGCCTCCACTCAACAGACGTTGCACCATCAGGCTCCTGCAGCTAACATGCAGCTAACGGTCAGGCAAGTCTTGGCCTTTTCATTGAGTTTTCCCACCTCTTGCCTGCTTTGTGCCCCACTCCTTGACAGTCTCAGATTGCTCTGGGCCATCCGTACCAACTCAGAGCAATCCATAATAATAATAATAATAACAACAATAATTTATTATTTATACCCCGCCCATCTGGCTGGGCTTCCCCAGCCACTCTAGGTGGCTTCCAAAAAAATATTAAAATACTGTAATACATCAAACCATAGAGGTCTCCACCTGACTCTGCTGACAACAGAATCTCTTTATAGGCCCAATTTGGCTCAGGCCCTAGCCAAATCCACTGCACAGTTCTAATAACTAACTTACAGAACACAAATACGCACACCTAATTTTGACCCTCTTGGAAATAAGTAGGCTGTTCAGTTGCTTTCAGGGAAATGGGTGAATTCTAAGAATTTCAGGGTGTGGTCTTAACCTTCACAAAGTAATAGAGGCGTTTTCTTTGATGCCATTTTGCAACAAAGAAAAATAAATTGCTTCCAAGCAGCAGGTGGGCTGCCCTCAGCTGCCTGGCCAGATTCCTGGTGCAGAATGCCTAGCGGGAACTATGCTGCACCATGACATTGCCCTGTTCGCGGGGTGAATTCTTGGGTGGTTTTCAATGGGAACTGGATTAAATTGTGGAGGATAGGTCTAGCGGTGGCTGTATTGTCCATGACAGCTAAATGGAACATCCGCATTCAGGGACAATATACTTCCAGTAGAGACTGGTTCATTAGGGCAAAGGGGGCAGTGCCTGATCAGCCTCAATCTGCCCTCAGCCACCCCCCTACTATGCCCAGTCCAGTGGGTGGCATTGGCTGTCAGCTTCTTCCTCCATAGACTCAGCATTACACTTGTGCAACTTGTGCAACTCAGCAGCAGGGAGGATGGGAACGAAACCAGAATTTCTTGGCTCTGGCTCCATCAACTGTTTGTCTCCCTACACACTCCATGCCTCCAAGGCTCCGCTATGTATCTCTGAATATAAGCTGCCAGGGGCAAGCAACCGGTCCTGAGAGATCTTCACTGGCTCCCAGTACATTTCTGAGCACAATTCAACGTGTTGGTGCTTTCCTTTAAAGCCCTAAATGGCCTCAGTCCTGTATACCTGATGGAGCGTCTCCACCCCCATCGTTCAGCCCGAACACTGAGGTCCAGCTCTGAGGGCCTTCTGGCGGTTCCCTCACTGCGAGAAGCAAAGCTACAGGGAACCAGGCAGAGGGCCTTCTCACCCTCTGTGGCACCCGCCCTGTGGAACACCCTCCCACCAGATGTCAAAGAGAACAACAACTACCAGACTTTTAGAAGACATCTGAAGGCAGCCCTGTTTAGGGAAGCTTTTAATGTTTAATGTATTACTGTATTTTAATATTTGGTTGGAAGCCGCCCAGAGTGGCTGGGGAAGCCCAGCCAGATGGGTGGGGTATAAATATTATTATTATTATTATTATTATTATTATTATTATTGAAGACAACTCTCTTCATGCCCTGCTTGTGAGCTTTGCAGAATCACCTGGTTGTGGAAACAATTTTCTGGACCAAATGAACTGTTGGTTTGGTTCCGCAGGGCTGCCTTATGTTCTTATAGACTTAAAGGGTGCAGATGAGGGGTTTGCACGCTCCTTGGCTATCACAAACTGCCTGGAATCAGGGAGAAGCCCCAGGTTAGGACCCGTCTCCTCAACATGTTCATTTTCGATAAAGGCATTCAGTAATGAGAGCCAGTGTGGTGTAGTGGTTAAGAGCGGTAGTCTCGTAATCTGGGGAACCGGGTTCGGATCTCCGCTCCTCCACATGCAGCTGCTGGGTGACCTTGGGCCAGTCACACTTCTCTGAAATCTCTCAGCCTCACTCACCTCACAGAGTGTTTGTTGTGGGGGAGGAAGGGAAAAGAGAATGTTAGCCGCTTTGAGACTCCTTAAAGGGAGTGAAAGGTGGGATATCAAATCCAAACTCCTCTTCTTCTAATGTGATTCGATGATCCACGTTCTGAAGTGAACCTAGCAAAGTTGTGCATGGTGCCTCTAAATGTGGGTCAGCTCTTGGAGAAGGTGAGAGCACAGAGAACAATGAAATACCTTTTAATATTTCTATTTAAATGGAAACCTTGTGAAAAATAATCACACCCTAAAAAATATTTCTCATTTATGCACAAAGTGTTCCTCAAATAGAATCCTGGCTTGCTTCAGAGAGTAGCAGCTCAAGTTAAACAGTGGCAATATTTTTGGGTATGCCTATTGAGGGAGTGCAGAATCTGAGAACTGGACCCAGAATTCCCTCCTACAGAGCACACTTCTCGGGTGATGTGGTTAGGTCAGCTTGGTCCAGAAAGCCTCTCTTAGAAATGAGTTCTATGTCTTATGCCTTTTTCAAATGATAAACAAGCCCCACATCTCCGGCCAACTGCAGAGATCAGAAGGACCATTCTATAATAATGAAGATGTTGAGGGTTTAAAGCTGTTTATGAAATGCATGTATTAGCAATGGGTCTGTGTGTCATTTTGTTCATATTTAAAGGCCAAACTGCCCAATTCTCACATTCTGAAACACATCCATCCTTCATTATTCAAGCTTCTTTGAATTTTGTGATACAGTTTGGCAACCAAGTAATTGTGCAAGGATCCATATGGTGGGATATAAAGCATGCACAAACATTTGTATGTTAATAAAAATAATGTTGCATTAAGGAAAATTGCTTTCTAAAAATGTGTATATTGGGAAATTTGTAAATATTAGGAGAAAGGTACACTACAGTGCTGACGAATTTTCAAACTGATGTTGAGAACTGAACTTTAGATTGGAAAAATGAACAATTCAGAAACCAAAACTGGCCTATTCATGCTTCCGTGGCAGGCACACAAGCCCTCCAAATAAACATAGTCTAGTCTCCTGAATGACTGACCAAAAGCAACTCTTCTATGAGGCAAGATTTTGGCGCTGAATAATTAGTTTCTAGTAGTGTTTACTCATGGAAGATAGCGCCAATTTACGTAACGATAACTCACTTGCTAGCTAGCAGCTGCCCATTCTGTTGCCCTCAAGGCTGGAAGGATGCTTCTATGCACTCTTATTACAAACTTGATTTTCCAAAGCCTTATTTATTGCCACATCAGAGAGGTTCACCCACCAACTCAGGATTCACCGTCTGGTGGTTTTCATGTACCGTACTTAACCACATGGCCACATGGGTTGCAAGTCCCATCCAACTATGATTTCATCTGGCCCTGTTTTTTAATATATGTGTCAGGGCTGCCTCAGGTCCCAGCTCACAAGAGACCAACGCCAAGTCCAGTTTATATACAAAGATGTTTATTGCAGTGTATTGTACGCTCCACAGCCGAGGCGCGCAGCCCCACGTCTGTTACGCTTAGACCGCTGAAGTCCCCTCTGAGTCAGTCCCTCCTCTGCACCAGTTTAAGAGGGCTGTGCTGCTCCACCTCTTCCTTTCTTTCCTTTTCCGCAGGGTCTTCCTGCCCCCTGGGGTTTCGCCCCTCCTGGATTCCCCTGACGCGGAATCCTCAGACAGCTCTTCCCCCCTCCTGCGTGCTTTGGGACCTGGCTCCTCCTCCGGGCTCCCTGTTCTTCCGCGCGCATTTGAACTTGGCGCGCGTTCGCAGCCTCTAACCTTCCTCTTGACAGTTACACTACTCCCTGCACTACTCCCCTCCCCTTCCGGGAGGATGTCTTGCTCCGATCTCCCCTCCCTCTCTGCTTTCGGACCTGCTTCTCCTGTCACTCTGGAATCTCCACCCCCTTCACTGCGCTCTGGCGTTGAAGCCGGTCCCGACTCCCAGCTCCCACTTCGGGTTCCCCTGCTGGTCCCCTGCTCCTGACGAGTCCCCCCTGTGACTCCCCTTGGCCTGACCACAGGCGCCCCCTTCTGGGAATCCTCCGATTCACTTGAAAGACTCATGGAA